TAATAGTTCATTTATATCTTCCGGTGTTTATGCTGCAGGGAATGTACCGATAGCGATGAAACCTTTCACATTTAGTAGGAGGTATATCCGCGATGATCTCACTTGCAAAAATGTATTGAATTTGTTAATAACTACTGTTATAGCAAAAAATCTATGCCTTCATGTTACTCTGCAAGGAATGTATCGTTCGCGATGAAACCTTTCATATTTAGTAGGATATACAGGGTGTCACGCGATTACCTCGACAGCTGAAGAGGGATGATTGCTAAGGTGATTCTAAACAACTTTTTCTTTTGCCAAAATGTTGGTTAAGGCTTGGTTTTCAAATTAATGACAAAAAACACCGACCAATCCGAGCGCGTATAGCGCGCAGTCCCAGGGACTGTAGTGTCGGGTACGAAAACCGAGCCTGACGTAGGTCGCGAATGAACGGCTTGGCACCCCGTTAGCATAGCACAATAAAAAAACTGAACTGGTAGAACATTTTTAGTCGTTGTTTAGAATGAACACGGAACCTAATCTCTCGTCGCCTGTCATAATGTAAAAAAGGAAATTCTAAGGATTTAAAACAACAAATAAAAATGTTTGAAGTGGAATATTTAATAAACGCTTGAATTGGAGGCTACGTTAATGATGAAAAATTTGAAAACAATTTAAATGAAACTTACTAATTCGTTTCTAAATTAACTTGCTACGCTGAAAGCAAATAATTCCCACTAGATCACTGTGTCGATTCTGAACATGTATTTTCTGAAAAAATACAAAGAAAAATAACAATCGCGTTTGTGCTAAAATAAAATACAATAAAAGAAAATTCAGATTATTAATTACAAAATAGTTTGACCTAAAATAAAATACAAAGGAAAAATTAATTGATTAGTGAACGCGACTCTAGATACGATTATGAAAACTCTAAATCTATAACTTGAATTTATCTAATAAAATTATTCAAATAAATTGTTCGATTGTCGGAAAATTGGCGTGGATCCGTTCCGACACTGTAGGAGCTAACCCGTTCGGCCGCAGTACGATTTCTGGGTAACTTAGCCGTCACTGATAGGCCGCATCCAAGGAGCTTCTGCTTTCGCTCGCTCGTAAAGCTTGGTTGCGAACACTGCAGGATGGTATCGTCGCTCCAGAGCCAGTGTACTAATAGGCCGCATCCAAGGAGCTTCGGCTTTCGTTCGCTCGTTAAGCTTGGTAGCGAACCTGACACGTATGAGAACCGCTGCGAACCGGTGGTCGAGCGCCCGGGTCTGACGCGGAACCTTTGCCACCTTGCCGACAAAAGAATTTATGCTACTGAAAACCTATGTAGTAATCGTATCATAGATCCATGTCGGACTACGATCAAAATCGAAGTGAAACAGCTCCTCGCGGCACGCTCGTATTTATACCCGAGATCTGCTTACGTAGCAGTTTTTTCTACACGCATTTTCGATACCGGAAGTGCTTGGACTTTGACCGGAGTGTACGTGACTCCGCGCGTATCGCTATCTCTGTCTATGCGTAGTGCTATCTCTCTTTATTCTGCGCTCTATTACTATCTCTTTCTACGCGTTATTCCTATCTCTATCTATGTGTCCTGCGTCGATCTTTTATCGACGCGGTAATTATCGATGTATATTTTTGGAGTATAAATTTTGTTAAGTATAAATATTAATAAATACAACATTCTTTTCCTATTTGTTAAATATGAATATAATTATTAATCGAGATCATGTTAATACAATAATAATAATAAAAAAAAACGAAGTGTTACAAACTTAATTGTATAAAATCGAAAAAATAAATAAATATTTTAATAATTATTAATGATGAGACTTTGTGTTTATTCTTCTTCTTGCGGGATGTTACAGAAGCGAAAACAATCCAGTCTATATCTGCAAAACTGTATTAATGCAACGATGAAACGTGTTTATTTTTAATTTTTTTGCTATGGAACTTTTATCAACAAATTTGTGATATTTTTCTAATTAAAACAAGACCAAACACGATGTAAATCGGACAAGTTTTGTTATTAATAATCAATTTAAATTGATCCAGTCCATCATTAATAACTAATTAAAGTAAAGTAATTAAACCGATCTATGTCATGTTTAGATTCATTTTAATCAGAAGAACCTCAACAATCCAACGGTACTATCTTTTCCAAGGTAAAACGAAAATTAGTCCAAATGTAATATTCCTTACTGAATGTTGATTTGTTTTCCTCGCGGCATCCCTTTGTAATACATCTATCTCGAATTTTCGCGTAATACGTATTCTTTTTCCGTGTTTACGGATTCGAAGCTCCGCTGAGCTCGAGAAAATTAGTATGTAATAGGGCAATGTCACACAATGTTATTAGCCGGCGCAGAGGAAAGGAGGGATCCTTCGCACACCCCGCCGATTTTGGCACACACAAACCGTGTGAGCCAAGGCGGGACACGACCAATCAGACGCACACTCTTTCCCTCGAACAAGTTACGAACGACGAGCAGCAATCAGTTAGAATTGCGACGCTGTCATCAATTGAATTCATGATTCATTCCGTTGAAGATAGCGATAGGTATATATTCAAATATATTATCATAATTCTAACTATTTTTTTTTTTTTAATTTAATTTAATATAAATAAGGAAAAGGGTTCAATTCTGCTTTAAGCGAATCATTGTTTGCGAAAACAAACAGAACAATTCTGCTTTGAGCGAATCTAAAGAAACAGACAATTTCTGCTGTGAGCAAATCATTGTTTCTGAAAATATAAACAAGGATAAAAAGGGTTCAAATCTACTTTAAGCGAATACAAAGAAACTGGCCAATTCTGCCTGGAGCGAATTATTGTTTGTGAAAACAAACAGGCCAATTCCGCTTTCAGCGGCTAATTAATAAAATAAAATAAAAAAGTTTCGATATATATAATTATGGGTAGACCTACAAAAGGTGCATCCCGTATGAGAAAGAATCGTGCGAATGGATCGGACGATGTGAAGCAATTACGTCTTTCTAAAGAACGTGAAAGAAACGCAGAGGCACTATTGAAGAAACTATTGACGATCGCCGTTCGAGATTGTCTACAAAGCGAAAATATGCTAGTTCGAAAAAATCGCGCGAAACGATTGACGAAAGAAAATGTTGGCTAAGCAGAATTTCTAATCGTTTAAAGAACGAATCTGCGGAGGAAAGGTCACGCCGTTTCCGATTAATCCACAAGCGTTTAGCAAACGAATTTGCGGAGGAACGATCATGTCGTTTAGCATTAATGCGCAGGCGTTTAGCGAACGAATCTGCGGAGAAACGGTCATGTCGTTTGGCATTAATGCGCAGGCGTTTAGCGAACGAATCTGCCGCGGAACGGTCACGTCGTTTCGCATTAATCCGCAGGCGTTTAGCGAACGAATCTGCGGAGAAAAGGTCACGCCGTTTCCGATTAATCCGCAGGCGTTTAGCGAACCAATCTGCCGCGGAACGATCACGTCGTATCGGATTAATCCGCAAGCGTTTAGCGAACGAATCGAATGAGGAAAGTTCGCAACGTCTAATGGCTGTGAGAAATCGTATGCGGAAAGTACTACTAAGTGAACGTGTCGAATCAAGAAATACGCGTTTAAGAAATATGCGTGAACTAGCTAAAAAACGGAGAAAAGAACTTCTCCTTCAGGAAGACTACTTTAAATCGGCTATTAATATTTTTGCTAATGTACCGTGTGCAGTGTGTTACAAGACTTTATATCCGCAGCAACGTTACGCTTTACACACGCAGCCTTTGTCTAATCTAGTTCCTGCAAATCTATTAGAATCAGAGAAGATAACATGTTCTCGTTGCCTAAATCATCTTAAAAAACACAAAGTTCCATCACAGGCATTCTGGAATAAAATGAAACTCATGTCTGTACCTCTGGAGATAACAGATTTATCGGAAATCGAAAAACAAATGTTGTGCAGAATAGTACCGTTTCTTAAAATCATGAAAATTCAGAATCGTTTCAGTTAAGATTGGTGCAAAGGTCAGGTAGTTATCGAGTTATTTGCCCGCGATGTGTTCGAAGTAGCCGAACAACTTCCAGTTAGATTAAACCAAACCGGTATAATGATTGTAGTGGAAAGCCTCGAAAATTTGGAGCGACAACGACAATTTCAAATAAACGTTGGCAAACTTTATATAAAATAATGCTTTATACAAAGATGTGCGACCATGTGTTTCTAATATTACCAATAACATTTTCGAAATAGCTCATGTCATTGAACAGCCGGCTATTGTCACAAAGGAACTTGAAGTTGCGCAAAGAAATATTGAATCATACAGTAGATTTGTAGACGTTGGTCAGAATGTAGCTGTTGGCGAAATTCCCCAAATTGTTTCAGCCCACGAAGTTGGCAACGATAGTATTTCGTCAGTGCGTCGTTACCGATAGCGGCAGCACCTCTCGGGCCCACTTTGTCCACGCGGTCCCCTCTCCACGCGCTTACCGGCACGATCGACGCCATCATCGATCGTGTTCTTCTTGATCGTACGCTTCGAGTGCACGCACGTGTTTCCTGCCCACGCTCACGTTACGTTTCAAGTCAGACCACTCTTTGGTAATATAACAAGTATCGACCGCGCCTTGTCCACGCAATTACTTTCGAGTATATCTCGTGTAATTGACCGCGCTCCGCCCACGCATTTATTGTTGTAAATTGTTCGAGCCCACGCAGTGTAATTGTTTGACTTTGTACATTGTTTATGTGAATTGTGGTTTTACTATTGTATATTTGACGAGCAATAAACGAGTTGTGTTTGTTGCAAGGTGTGCCTCTTTACTCTACCCGCTCAGTCCACGTGAACACGCAAACATTTTGGTCCTTCGAGCCGGATAGAGGCACGCTCGTGTGTAACGGTTTCGAAGACGCGTGTAACGGTCGACGACGCCATTACGCGTACCGGCCGCGCCCGCTCGTAGAACACTCAGTGCCAGTGCTAGTGAGGTGAACACGTCATTAGTTTGTGACCACGCAGTCGACTCTCAACCATTGAGATGCCGAAATCGCGGGACACCTCACCGGCTTCGCACGACAGCTCTGCCCGCTTCAGCAAGGCGGAAGAGGAAACGACCACGGCGCCCCCGCTTCTAGAAGTCCCGGAAGAGACGACGCAGCCATCACAGACCATGCGCACACGCTCACCAGCGCGCCTCTCCACAGAATTGCAGGTTCGTGCGAAGGTGCAGGAGGAGCGTCTGGGCACGATGCTGTCCATCGTGGAAGACCTTCAGGCCTCCGCTGCAAAGGACCCATTCTCGATTCTTGCCTCAGAAGTCGAGATTACGAAGACCACGCTGATGGAAATGCATCTATTGTTCCATCAAGAGCACCAGGCTCTTAGCCGTCTCTGGCCGGTGTCCCAACTTGAGCACGGCTACTACAAGGACAAGGTGGCCTCGCAGGAGGAGAAGGTTGTTTTGACAGCGCGTAAACTAATCGCTCAGCTGAAGCACCGTCTCGGACCAAGCACGCCCACGCAGCCAACGACGTCCACGCAGACTCCCGCAGCACGCAGGTCACGACTGCCAGAAATTGCGCTCCCCAAATTCGAAGGAGAGTACAACCGATGGCAGGAATTTAAATCGGCGTTTTTATCCGTCATCATGGACCGCGACGACCTCTCAGAAGTTGACAAGCTCCACTACCTGAAAGGGGCATTGTCTGGCAACGCAGCGCAGGTCATTGTCCACCTGCCCACGACTAACGAGGCCTTCCAAAAGGCGTGGAAACTCTTGGACTCCAGGTTCGAGAATAAACACCTGAACGTCCAGTCTCATATGGGCCGAATCGCCGATCTGAAGCCAATGAAACACTGAAGGGCTAGTTCGTTGATAAAGATGACGAACATGATCGGCGAAACGCAGGATCAGCATTACTGCTTTCTGCTGAGTCACCTCGTGAGAGTGCTAGACTCCGACACCAGAGAACGCTGGGAGTCCTCTCTGAGCACTCAGACGGACTACCCCACGTTGACGCAGCTCACGACCTTCTTGCTGAGACGCGCCAGAACGCTGGAATAACTGGAGCGGATGGCCGAGCAGAAAGCAGCACAGACCACGCAGACCTCGTCAGGGCGCCCTGCCAGCCGCGACATCCGGTTGATGCAGCAGAAAACCGCAGTACACGCAGCCGCCGCTACTCAGCCCACGCCATCGACGACCGGTGCTTCTGCCACGCCTCGTCCACGAACATCAGCGCTATATCCTTGTGCGCTTTGCTCCAAGGATCATTTTCTCTCGGCCTGCCCTGTCTTCAGGGACAAGACAATGGAGGAGCACATCAACGTTGTGAAGGCCTAAGCGCTGTGTATAAACTGCTTGGGTCACCACAACCTAAGAAGTTGCCGCACTGTTCAACGCTGCAAACTGTGCAGTGAGCAGCACCATACGGCGCTTCATGGTGGAAATCTTATCCGGGTAATGGTGCTCGACTTCCAGAACTCGCAACCCGCTACCGCCGCCACGTCATCGCAGTCCACGGCGAAGGCATCGCAGACCACTCACACTCAATCGACAGCTCATTGAGAAGTCGGTGCAATCGCCGACGCCCACGCAGCCTGCTCAGCCCACGCTTTAAGAAATCGCTCAGCCCACGCATTCAGACCACGCACGGACCACACTTCTAGCAACGCCACTCGCCAGAGTGCACACTGACCTCGCAACGCAGAAAGTAAGAATTCTGGTCGATTCAGGTTCTGAAGTCTCTCTTATTTCAGAGTCTTTAGTAAATCAACTTAGACTCAGACGCCAACGCTCCTCAGTGGATATCCACGGAGTTGGTGGAGCAAGGACCTCGCAGACCAATGGAGTGGTCAATATTACCCTCCATTCAAACTACCAGCCGCTCTCAGTCACCGTTCAAGCACACGTGCTTACGAAGGTGACCACTTGCTTACCATCAGAACCACCAGCTCGTCCAACGCTGCCATCGCATCTAGAGAAATTGAATCTAGCAGATCCGCAATTTCTCAAATCCAGACCAGTGGACATCATTCTCGGAGCCGACGCATACGGGCAAGTCATCAAGCCAAACATTATTCGGAACGCTTCAACACCGTTGATCGCTCAACTTTCGATCTTCGGTTGGCTCGTAATCGGGCCCCTCGAGGGCATTCAGACAATTCGCAGGAGTTCTCATCAGGTGACAGTCAATAATACTGATCGCCAATTGAGTGAGTTACTCAGCCGCTTCTGGACGCAGGAAGAGCCACCGCAGGACACGGCACCCTTGCTCACGCCAGACGAGCAAAAGTGCGAAGATCATTTCAAGACCACGCATTCAAGAGATTCCGCAGGAAGATACATCGTGCGATTGCCGCTCAAACTTCATCCTCGAGCACTCGGCAATTCGTATCAGACGGTGCACAATTGCCTTCAACGGATTCTCAGACGACTCAGTAAGAACGCCCAGTACAATCAGCTGTACACCAAGTTCATGCTCGAGTATGAGCAGCTTGGTCATATGGTAAGACTGAACAACGACTCAATAACTAGTCCGTTTCAGTACTTTCTCCCGCATCATGGCGTTCTGAAGTTGGGCAGCACGACCACCGCATTGCGTGTGGTTTTCAACGGCTCCAGTCCAACTTCTTCAGGATACTCGCTGAACGATCTTCTACATACAGGTCCAAATCTGATGCTGAATATCACAGATCTGCTCATTTGGATACGCAGATACAAACATCTGTTTGCAACTGACGTCACGAAGATGTACCGACAAATCAAGGTGCATCCGGACGACTGGAGCTTGCAGCAAATACTCTGGCTTGATGACACGCAGAAGGAAACGCAGTACCAGCTGACCACGGTCACGTACGGGACGAAAGCTGCACCGTACTTGGCTGTTCGAACACTCCTGCAACTCGCTGAGGATGTAGGATCGAAATATCCCCTTGCTGTTGAGCCCATCAGAAACGGCAGGTATGTCGATGACATTTTTGGTGGCGCTGATACCGCAGAACATCTACAGGACGTTGCAAATCAGCTGACGCAGTTGTGTCAAGCGGGTGGATTTCCACTCGCAAAATGGCATTCCACGAGCAAATCGTTGCCAGAAGACCTCGCACCAGAACAGAACAACGCAGCAATCTCATTCGACGACTGCGCAACCAAAATTCTCGGAATTAAATGGATTCCACATCAGGACACATTCAACTTCTCGACCATATCAGCTACTCAACGCATGCAGTTTACGAAACGCCTCGTCCTCTCAGAAGTAGCACAACTATTTGATCCTCTCGGTTTTGTTGCACCTGTAATTATCAGAGCTAAAATTTTTATTCAAGAGCTTTGGTTACAGGAACTCGGTTGGGACGACATTCTGCCGCTGCATATCACTCAACGATGGCTACGCATCAGGGAAGATCTAACCAGCTTGGCCAAGCTTTCCATCCCACGATGGTTCAACACCACGACCACGTCTACAGTTGAACTTCATGGCTTCGCTGATGCATCAGTCCTCGCAATGGCAGCCGTCGTCTACCTCGTCGTACACGCACCGTCCACGGGTACCCAAGTTTCGCTTGTCTGCTCGAAAACGCGAGTGACACCACTCAAACGTCTGACCATCCCGAGGTTGGAACTCACAGCAGCGCTGCTACTTTCAAAACTGATGCGGCATGTTCACGCTACTTTGAACATGACCGTCACTCAGACATTTTTGTGGACGGACTCAGAAGTCACGCTTGCATGGATCAAGACGCACCCCTCAAAATGAAAGGATTACGTTCGCAACAGGGTAATCCAGATCCAGGAGATTACGCAGAACTTTCACTGGAGGCATGTACCAGGATCATCGAATCCAGCTGACTGCGCGTCAAGAGGCATGACGACAGGACAGATCCATCAGCACTATTGTACATTTGACGAGCAATAAACGAATTGTGTTTGTTGCAAGGTGTGCCTCTTTACTCTGCCCGCTCAGTCCACGTGAACAGGCAAACAGTAGCTATTTTACGAGGCACGTTTCATCAAGCTAGCGATCGCTTCAGTATCGAATCTCGTGGTAAGCAGTGTACTGGCGTAGCTGCAGTTGCATGTGTTGCGTTTCATTCCCTTGATCCTAGTACGTGGTGTACTAGTGATGTCGATTATGTGGTTATAGTAGGAGATAAATATTATCGTGATTGCATTGAAGCACGAAGTATTCCTAACCCCAACGAAATCAATGTAGACTATTTAGCCGCAACTGAATTATTGCCACATCTAACATTTAATAATAGGCGAGTCAATATTAACGTTGACTATGAAATGTCTATAAATGGTCATATTGATGTTGATAACGGTGATGAAGGATTTCCAAATTTAAAAAATGGTTTCATTAGGTTTTTTCAACAGTACATGTACGGAATTCTTACTGCAAATTATACATCAGTAGCCGTATCATGCAACAACCAGTCGGAGACCACCTACTATTGGTTGTTTGATTCCCATGCAAGAGGTCCAAAAGGATATAAAGCACCATTACGGAATTAGTATGAAATTTACTACTATTGATGCTTTACAGGCCACCTTGCGTCGTAATTTGAATGCGAAAGATGGCAACAGCAATGTATTAAATATCTACTCATTAACACCTATAATAATTGTATCCGGAAGAAATAGATCTCCACTGGTAGAAAGAATGCAACAGCTGTCAGTTGGGACCCCTCGAACAGAATCCGGCAAAACAGGAATTATATTCCAAACAAGCATATTACGTTCGGTTGACGAAGGTGTTCCCAACATCGATAGTGTCGTCTCAATCAGTAATACTAAGAATAACGCAGACAATGCCCCGATAGACCTGGTGAATATACATAGAAAAACAGCGCCTTCTTTGAACCTAGAGAGAGAGAGAGAGAGAAGAATGGAAGAACTGTGTTGGTTGTTCCTGTATCCGGATGGAAAAAATGGATTTGGAGAGCATCGAGACATCTCAATAACACCACTGGATTACTTCCAAGCGCGTATTCTGAGCAATGACAAACGATTCCAGCGAACAGATTATTTGTTCTTCGCATTATCTGTTGTTGAATACTACCGCGCAAAAGGCTAGCATTTCAGTATCATGTAAAATACGCAAAGGGGAACATACTCCACAGGGATTAGTAGATAATATGCACCTCACAATGAGAAACATAAGAGGATCGGCATCATACTGGAAACGCTGCTGTTCGGAATTAATCGCCATGGTCCGAAATCTTGGACCGCCCACATGGTTTGCTACGTTCTCTTGCAATGATCTGAACTGGCCAGATATGTTGAAGGCATTACTACTATTCGATGGTCGCCCCATTACCGAATTCGAAAACCTAAACTTTTGCAGATCGACTAAAGTTGGTTCAGAGATACCCTGTAGTTATTGCAAGACAATTTACGTTACGTGTAAACGCGTTAATGCAATATTTGAGAAACTCAGATTGCCTAGGTGGCGTTGTTATCGATTTTTGGCATAGAATAGAATTTCAGAACAGGGGAAGTTCACATTTGCACATGCTTCTTTGGTATGCAAACGTACCTGATTTCCTTACCAACGAAGGCTGCAACGTTATTGAGAAAGTTGTATCTTGTTCATTGGAAGCAGAAAATCAAGATATGAGGGACACAGTTCAAAAAGTCCAAATTCATAAACATTCTGCTACATGTTACAAAGATCGTAATAATCGTTGTTGTCGTTTTGGATTCCCCAGACCGATAAGTGAAAGAATGATGTACTTAGGTCCAGATGACACACTTGCGAACAATGGACGTTTCTGCGTACTTAAGAGATCAGGAAATGAAATCATGGTGAACAATTACAACCCAACTCTTTTAAAGCTTTGGGAAGCAAACATGGATATTCAACTATGCGGAAATGTTACAGCTGTCGCATATTATACTGCTAAATACGCAAGTAAATGCGAGCCGCAGGACACAGAAAATATTATTAAAGAAGCCATTTTACGAGCGAAACGCCGGAGCGGTACCGTCCGGGATCAACTATTTTTGGTATCTATGGCAATTCTATCTCAACGTGTGGTTTGTGCTATAGAATGTGCATATCGGTTGTGCCATCTGCCCCTTAAAATGAGCTCGAGAAAAGCTGTATTTATAAACAGCTGTCGGCCTGAACAGAGATATAGAATTCTCCGATTCGAAGAAAATGAAACATCATTTTTCAATAACATATGCGATCGTTACGTAAAGAGACCAGACAATCTAGAGGATTTGAGCTTAGCGGAATTTGCTGTCCGATATGAAACAGTTTCAAGTGGAATGTGGACAGAAGAGGATGGAGACGCAGAACTTAGAAATGACGATGAAGAAATATCGAGGTCGAGGTTTATAAAATTAAAGGACAATACCCGACAATAATGAGAATAAGGAAAAAACCAGCTGTACTTTGCCACCGATATTATACCTTAAACAGTGATAGGGAAGGATATTTCTATAACTTAATAGTGTGTCACATTCCATTTCGTGATGAAAGTACACTTATGTCCGAAAACGAATCCTCGGAATAATGTTTTCTTCGACGGCATCGCGAGTTGAAACCTATGTTGGGTAACGCAACCGTCGAACAATTTACTCACGCAGAGCAAATTAGTGAAGCGGCGCTCACCCAGGCTGTTGCTTTGAATGTTGTACACGAAGAAGAAACTAATAATGAACATTTAGGAGAACCAGTCAGAATTCATGCTGACGAAACAGTATATTATGATCAAGATGATTTATATGAAGATCAACAGCAAGAAGAAACACGTGCAATACCCGAAGACGTATTCCTTAATAGCATTCGAAGTCTGAATATTCAACAGAAAGACTTATTGAAATCAGTTTCCGCAGTAATTGAGAAAGATATTAAACAAAATGATGATGATGAAAATACCGAACAGATGTTGCTTTTTATTACCGGAGGAACTGGTAGCGGCAAGTCATTTATTTTAAAATTACTTATTGAACATGTTAAACGCTGCTATAATCCTACAATTGATACGATGATAAAACCATCTTTCATTGAAGTAGCTTCTTTGACTGGCGTCGCCGCCCGTCAAATATTCAGAAAAACTTTGCATTCCTTGTTCTCGTTAACTATTGAAAAAGGTACTGCAATGACCTATCGACGACTGACAGGACAAAGGCTCGAACAGGAGAGACGAAAGTGGCGTCATACAAAGTGGTTGATTATCGACGAGATAATCGGACGAGACGAGACAATGGTGTCTTATGAGAATTTGCGAATAATTCATTTAAGATTGCAAGAATTCAAAACAAATGATAAACTATTTGGTGGCGTAAATGTGCTTCTCTTTGGCGATATCATGCAGTTGCTCCGAGTAAAAGGAAACTGGTGTTTTGTACAGCCACATTGGTGTACTGCAGAAATTAATTTATGGCACCAATTTTCATTCTACGAACTCACCATTAATATGCGACAAAAAGATGACGTTGCGTTTATCGATTTATTGAATAACCTTCGGTTTGGGGAAGTGACAACTTCTCAACTGGAAATACTATGCGAGCGAAGAAGAATTCCCCTAACCGGAGAGTTCGAGGATGGTGCAGCAGTAAGAATATTCCCAACGATAAAATTAGTGGATGAATATAATTCAAAAATGACTGATGAATTAGCAAAATCACATCGAATGTACATCATTGATTCAATAGACGAGTCCCGTGAGGCAGCTACATATGGAAAAAGGCCGCCAGCAAATGTCATACCTGTTGTTACGTATCCGTCTCAGATATTTTCTTATATGGTGTTACAAACCCGTCTCAAAAAACTTCCTTATATGGAATCGAATGTGTGCACTCGACACCAACCGTCTTCTAGAAAATTCGAGACCAACGCAAAGCAAGGGAGCGGTCCTACGGGTCACGTAGAGTCAGTCCCCACCACTCTTTTACTCTAATTTTTGAGTATAAAAAGGGTAGCGACAAGGGCACCTCGGGTCTAGTTGAAGTCTAGAATCAGTTCGTTACACGTCAGTACGTTCTTTTACGGATAATCTCTGCAACGATGAAACTCTGCGAGATCGGATATTCAAGTCCCTTTCAAACACTCACAGTAACTCACTATACAGTACGTTGTCTGCTGTTAAGCATTATTCTAATCGTTGTAGTCCGCCCCCGTTTACTCGCGTTCGTGAAAACCGAGAAGGATTAGATTCTTGCCTTGCAGAATCGAAACTAATTTCTATTTATTCAACTCATTTTAAACTTTGCAACCTAGAGTTTAATTCATTGAACACCGCGACAATTACACAGAACAATTGTAAGGTCCCGGAATAGAGAATAAACTCATATTATTTTAACTTACATACTATTGTTCAATTATATTTACTATCCAGAAACCCACTAAGGTGTACCTTTACCGCTCGAGGTACATCAATCAAGTTACGAGACCTAATACTAACGTTTCCTGCGGCTCCCTACGTTAGCCATACGTAGGTTTGTCCGCATATCACACTCCTGAGGCTCCCTACGTTAGCCATACGTAGGTTCGTCCACTATAGCCAACCTCCTAGAGCTCCCTACGTTAGCCATACGTAGGTTCGTCTCCACGTCTACTTCCTTAGGCTCCCAGTGTTAATAACAACACTGGGCAAGCCATTAACAAATACCATATACCGAAATTAAGCCCCGACTATGCAGCCGCCCCCTCCGGCTCGTAACAAAAACTGGTGACAGCGGTGGGATCCACTGATAAATATCCGTAAGGATACCGTGGATACAACTGGATTTGTATTATAATTGTTCTGTAGGATTTTTCGCGTTAAAATGCCAGAAACCAGGCTTTCGGCTGACGAAGTCGCGAATCTTACCTTAACAATGGCTAATTCTATGGCCTTGTTAACACAGCGTAATTGTATTCAATTCGCTACCGCGCCGATACTTTCGATGGCGAGAATTCAGCTTTGTCGGTTTTCGCTCAGAGTGTAGAAAACGGGCTCGCGTTAATACCAGATACGTCGGAAGCAGAGTATCTGAGTATCGTGTTAACTAAACTCACCGGTCCGGCACGGATTAGTATACAAGACAAACAATTCGATAGTGTAACTCAATTGTTACAACATTTAAAAAAACGATACGCCCCTGGGAAGAACTTGGCGTATTTCCAAGCTGAGGTTTCGCGCCTTAAAATCCGTGAGGACGAATCGCTGAGGAAGTACATCGAGAGCCAGCAAACTTGCCCATGGATCTCATCACCATCAGCTCATCAGCTCATTCAGATCGCAGATTGCGGATCAGCTCATCACCAACCAACGTGGAGATGGAAATGGACATCCTGGAGATGGACATCCTCCTCATCAAGGAGATGGAAATAGACATCCTGGAGAATTTCCTTGAGGGTTTACCGGAGCGTGTGGCCTGGAGAATCGCCGCTCTGGATAAAAGGATTAAAACTTTAGAAGAGGCGTACGAAGCTGTATTACAAATTGAACGTCGCCTCACGAACCAACGACAGATTCAAGAGAAGGTATCGCCTAGCCGTCGCAGAAAAGAGGACTTTCTCAGCTGGAGACGTCCTCGAGATAGGGAACACAGGCGTGTTTATCCTCAGTCACCGTCGCCCTACCGGCAAAGACCAAGGGATCACAGCACATCTGGTTCCGAACCGGAGTTCGAAGAACGAGCTTCACGCGCAACGGCGTTGACGTTACGTAAGCATGATTATTCACGCTCTCCAAACCACTCACCGGAGGCGCCAAAATATGATGAGCCGTTCAACACCAAACACGATGTTTACGAATTTTATTGCGCAAACTGCAGTACGGTCGGACATGGTTGGAAGGATTGCGAAAAGTCACCTCGCCGTGAAAGACCTCGATTTCGGTATCGAAGTGAGTCAGGAGGGAATTTCTCACCTTTGAGGAAACCTTTAAACTCCAACAACGCTCACCCAAACGGCGAGGCGGTGAGCGAACGCAACGAAGATCGCCGGAAAATGGTTCGTTTTGCAGACCAGAAACAGGAAGACGAATCAAGGAAGCACCAACCCCGCGCATCAGGATCAATGTTCCAGAACTGGAAAAAGGAACGGGAGAATTTCTAATCGATGGAGGAGCCTCCGTAAAGTTAGTTCTTCACGCTCTGGGAGAAAACACCGAAATCACATCAAAGGAAGGTCTTAAAATCGCTGGGCTCGCATCATCGACAATTCGAACCTTGGGAACTACCAGTCTGCAAATTAATGGATCTGCTACAGAATTTTACGTAGTAGAGGACTTGCCTATTTCCGCTGATGAACTCATAGGAAGCCCTTTTTTATTACAGGAAGGGGCTGAAATTTCCTATTATCATAAAACCTTGGTAACTCATAACCAACCTATTAAACCTATATTCTTCAGTAACGCTGAGGAGATGGAACTGCATCCAGTATTGTCAATTAAACATTGATTACCAGGACGCACAGCTCTCCAAATTGCAGTTCCAGTCGCAAATCCGGAGGTTAAGGAAGGGTACCTAGCACGAATCAAGAAACCTGAGGAGGTGTACATTGGAAAAGCAGCAGTTTGCAATTACGATGGAATTTGCTATGTCCTAGCCACAAACACCAGAGAAGACGAAATCGAAATTGACATTGAACCACAACGCATACATCCGTATGAGATTTTTGACTCATCGGATGACGATCCTATTCCTTCGGATCTAACAAAGGAATAATAAAGGATAATAACAATAATGAAAGAAAAGGAAAATGGGCCATAGAAGTAAGGGAGAAGATAAGACAGCGAATAAGAAAGAAAAAAGAAAGAGAAAAACAAAGACAAAAAATGGAAAAATAGAAAATTAAAAAACACAGATACAGAACTGTACTTACATCGGGGACTGATACACTCCGATTTTTATGAAACTTTGCATAAATATTTATTAGACCTGTTTATGAAGATAACTGTAATTCGTTGGTGCCCGTTTTTCACTTTGAGGGAGATATCAAAACGGAGGGGGAGGGGGAATTCAATTTTGCAAAAAGGATGATTTTAAAAAAAAACTTACACGCAGCTTTATAGACCTCAAGAAACGGTATAACTTTAATTTCAACTATTTTTTGATATCTTTTGTTGTTTACGATTTATAAGCACGTATATAGAAAGGGCGGTTCGGATAGAAGGGTTGATATCTCCCTCAAAGTGAAAAACGGGCACCAACGCATTACAGTTATCTTCTTAAACAGGTCGAATAAATATTTATGCAAAGTTTCATCAAAATCGGAGTGTATCAGTCCCCGATGTTCCCTTGTAAGAAAAACAAGAAACTGAAGAGTACACAGCATAGTTATGCACAACACTGAACGCTTAACTGAAACCGCTTGTCTCGTTGCTTTCCCAAATAAAACTGAACGGTGTTCTGGAAAAGTGAACCGCCGAAATCGGTTTGCCATACTTTTATTGCCTTTTAAGGGTTTGTAGACAAAAGTACCAAAAACGTGTCGATCTATTCCGTAGTTGTTAACCGATGACTGGCTATTTGAAAAAATGTAGAGTAGCGGCGCATGGGAACCGGACGGCGCGCGATGGTCTGCTGGCAGGTCATACGCAGCAATAAAATTTTATAACTCCGGCAATTTTGCGTGTTCCATCATGAAATTTTCAGGGTATTTAGAAAACTCTTTAAAGATTCTACAGACAAAATTTCAGACCGATTCGTGCTCCCCCTTGGGGTTATTTTCAAGTTTGAAAATTATAAACATTATTTACAACAATTTGAAGATTGCGTTGACACATGTAGTAATTTTTTTATTAAACTTTGAAGTTTTACCTATAAAATGCCGGTTCATGCATGTCGATATCTGTAATACTTTCCGAGTTATGATGTTTTGAAAAAAAAGTGACCCTAAATTTTCAGTCCTTATAACTTGGAAAGTTTAAACAATATCGAGGAACGGAGCATCGATTTTTTGTTCGTACATTGGGTTCTACAAGCCTACAAAATTTAACAAAAATCCAAGACCATGCGGGAAAAAGTGTGATCACTTTGCGTGGAATGACCCATATGTGAAAAAGATCTCTACCATATACATTAAAATTTTATTTCGGACTTTACATTTACTAACTTCATCCATCCGAAATTTGTATGGTTTGTTACACTTGTCTCATTTTAATCAGAAAAACGAAACAAATATTCAGTTTGTAACGACCTGCTAACAAGACCCAGCACCTTTTTCGTTCTACTTTTATTATTATAATCAATTTTTAGTTTAAGTTTTGTATAAAATGTATTTAATTTAATTTGTATTTCTTGCAATAAATAACTTTCATTAATCGATAACACAGTCTAATGAATAAGTCGATAAGCGTATAGTCGGTAAGTCAGCCGATAAAATAGATCATCGATAAATTATCAACGTGCGACCACATGTGCGCCAGCGCAACCCCTATGGTCTCGCGGTGGGGTGAGAACCTAGAGTAGGGATACCGCGTAGATTAAGGAGCAGGAGTGCTCGGCCGTCACGTGATGGGGAATTCCAGAAATCTAAAGGAATCCTATAATGAAAAAAAGCGCTAAGTCAGCAGAATCTGACTATAGATAGAGGCGTTCCACGCGGTATCAGAGCAGATCTTCTCTGACTTCGGTCAAATACAGACAGCACTCTGGAAGTAGAGGAAAGCTTGCGCTGAATTGCTTAGGCAACTATAAAGCGCGAGAATAGCTTTGCCCTTCTCTTTCAGTGGTGACGTACGAGAGTTCGGATCTGTGGACACCCTACTCATGGTACGCAACGTGTTAATCAGGTGTTTCTACTAAGCCATACTCAAGTATAAAGAGCTAGCGAGGAGCGGAGCTCCTTGAAACGGCCTGTATCTAACACAGCTCTGGCCAGTCCAGAAACCGATTGCGACCTGTAGGCAAAGTCCGCTCGTGTATGAGGATACCGTACAAGCCACTGAAGTGTAATTTCCATTACTTAGCGTATTTGGTGATTGTACAGAGTGTTGGCTATATCCATAGATTAATAAGCGTACTATTTCTAATTACTAATTCTAATTTATAATATTAATTACTAATCGTATACTTTTCACTGTATTTTATTATCTAGAGCGTACTTATTATAATTTCTTATTGTATTCCTATTCTAGCCCGCACACATTGTCATACTAGCGTTATTATTATATATTATACTCAGAACAAGCATAGTTAGTTTACTTACTTGAATAAATCTTTAGTTTGATACATTAATGTTTGGATTTTACTCCTCGACCGCACACCACACGAACCTATAATCCCTAATTCATTCATACGAGTCGCCTTCTTGGGAAACCGCTCTCCCTATACGTCGGTGCAGTGACGTACCTATCTCTGGGTCGTTACAAGTTGCTGTCCTTCTCTACGTTCGGATCACTACAAACAATGTAGTACCTCTACTATATATGTGACTCTGCGGAGCCCAGCTTTTTACATACAGAGGTGCCCAGTTAGGCATCCGCATTTTTGCCCACATAAGAGTCCGTCGCTATCCCCACCAGTTCTTGGAAATAGAAGTTCCACACATGTCGAAGTTTTCACGCATGTGGCCTTACATCATGGATTCGGAATGACAAATGACGTTCGAATTGATCGCCGCATTCGCATGTAGAGAATATAGGTATCCTACTTGCACTCATCTCCTCTCCTTCCTTCAGTTGAATTCGCAGAAGTCACCTCCCCATTTAAGCGTCCGTATTCGGTCCCGACTGTGGACGCTTAAGTGGGCACCTCTGTATATGGAGAGAATACGGTTGTTTCTACCGCGGTCGTGTACACGAACTTTTTAAGTACTTTTTTTATTATCTCCAATAGTTTTTCTTTAATAATGGATACTACTGATACTGGTAAGACCTACAATTATTTTTGCGTTCTGTGCTCCACAGATTTTTTTTTTTCAGTCACTGTAGTTCGAATTACACGAATGCAATTTTATGAAGAGTGGGCAAAGTTCCCGAAAAAAAATCGAAATGATAACTTATCGAGTTACGTTCTTGCTGCTGCCGCTAACACTGTCAGCCTAGAAGACATCATATTAGAACCACTGAAACACAGTGTTGCTCACTTTTCAGACAAAATTTTGGAAAGATGGGAAAAATGCCGTCGAAAACCAGAAGTTTTTTTCAACAAATATTCAAGCTGGCTTGATTCCTATGATTTCGAGTTTCACATTATACAGAAACAAATTCAATCTACTTCAATACGTACAGGACAGCAAAAGAAGTTGGTCACAATTTGTATCCTCCCTACTATAGGTTACTACAAGCCAAAAATGCTTGTATTCCGCGAGACAGTGTAGTAATTACCGAATGTAGAGCGGAAATATCGTTGCAGGGATTGCTAAATATAACAACTGAAAAACTATGTGTTTCACAGTTACCCGTATTAAAGCAGCTAGTTGACATGGGAATTTATGAATATAAATTATTTTGCAAATGGGGATGCGATGGAAGTGGGGGCCACAGCAAATACAACCAAAAATTTTCTTCTGAAAAAGAAAGTGATGAAAATATTTTCATGTTTTCGCTGGTACCATTGAATTTCATATCTATAAACGATCAATCATGTGTATGGAAAAACAATGGTCCAGGGGCAACTAGGTACCGTCGTCCCATAAAATTTATGTTTCAAAAAGAAACGGCCTCCCTAATATTTTCTGAAACGGAATCTCTGAATGAAGAAATCCGAGCCCTGACTTCTACCAAAATTAATGTTGAAAATAAGGAAATATATATAACGCACAATTTGGCGTTAACTATGCTTGATAGTAAAGCTTGTAACGCATTGACAGGCACCAAGTCAACTCAGACTTGCTATATATGCAAAGCAACTCCTAAGGTATTTCAAGCCCCAAATTCTTCACTTCCAGAAGACACCATAGAACAATACAGTTTTGGTTTGGCTACACTACATGGATGGATTAGGACTTTCGAATTCCATCTTAACATCGCGTACAGGTTAACATCAAACCCACCGAAAAAAACTTTGAAAACGGAAGAAGATCGCAATAATTTTTCTTTGCAAAAATTAAAAATTCAAAAAGAATTCAAAGACCAGTTAAGCCTCAAAGTGGACCAACCAAAACGAGGG